TCCGTTTGAGAATGATGGAGTTCCATTCCTTCTTCGGCCCGAACCGAAGAATCTCGTAGAGATAATGCGAGATCAATCTAAACCCACCTATTAAGTATCTGATTCAACATGCCAACTATTAAACATCATTCATTTTTTTTTAAACTATAGAATATATGCATATAAAATGATTTAAAGTGGATTAGGATTTGAAAAAGAATCCTTTTCTTTATAATCTTTTCTACTCGGATAAGAAAGCGCTCTTAGTTCAGTTCGGTAGAACGCGGGTCTCCAAAACCCGATGTCGTAGGCTCAAATCCTACAGAGCGTGATTTTTTTCTTTTAGGATCGTGGTTGGATCCACATATGTTTGGTAAAGAGAAGAATCTTCTCCTTTGTAGAATAATCAAAAATGGAACAAAATTATACCCATAAGACCTATGTCAGCTTTTTGTCTGAATACAAACTCACCACGAAATAGCTATTTTGCTTCAATTTCTAATCATAGATGTATTTTTGGGGGTTTTCTTATAAGAAACTTTTATTTCAAATCTTCTATATCTAAAGATCTAAAGATATAGTTATTTATCCAAAATCTCTACAATAGAATCTTTGTCTTCGGCTCAATCCTTTTAGTAAAAGATTGGGCCGAGTTTAATTGCAATTCAATTAAGAGAAGGGGATTAATTAATTGTTATCTTACTTATCCAAAGTATCTACTGCCTTAAACTCAAATTTGATCTCTTTCCATACTTCACAAGCGGCAGCTAGTTCAGGACTCCACTTGCTAGCCTCGCGGATAATAGCATTACCCTCAGCGGCAAGATCACGTCCTTCATTACGAGCTTGTACACATGCTTCTAGAGCGACTCGGTTAGCTACGGCACCTGGCGCATTACCCCAGGGGTGTCCTAAAGTTCCTTGTTTGAGTAATAGCATTGATATTTCCGGGAGATATAGTAAGAATTAAACATTAGACTATAATTCAATTTTTTAAGCAAACGGCATTCATATGAAAAAGACCAATTAGTTGATTCCAAAAAACAAAGAAAATTGGAAGTCTATTCATTATTAGATAATAAAAATTTTCAAAAAGATGTT